ATACAGAGCATCCATCCAGTGATCGTGGAAAGGGAAAGTGGAGTCAGAGAAACATCCTGAAGGAGATGGAGATGGCAGAAGGAAAAATCATGAGCCCTGAGATATGAAACAGCTTGGGAGGGGAGGGAGGAGTGGGAGAAGAGGTTGGAGTAGGCGGAGTCACAGAAGGCCTCCAGTGTTGCCATCTAGTGGCCACTCAGGATATCGCAGGTAAAGCAGAAAGTTACAATGGCTGTTGCTAACATTCACTGAGCATTTACTCTATGGTTTCTGTACATGTATTTACTTACTTATCTTCACCATAAACCTATATGATGGGCATTATTTCACCCTTAGTTTTAATATTCAGGCGCTGAGGTACCTTTGTTACTAACTTACCCAACATTATACTAATATGACATTGGCAGGAGAGATTTGCCCAGGAAAGTCTGGCTTCAAGCCCATGCCCACAGCCACTAAGCTGCACTTGCCTCAAGGACTGAGGTTTATCTGAGGAGAGAGGTTTACCCCCGCAGGTGTGAAGGGCTGGATCCTGGTTGGCTCTGTGTTTGGGAAAGGTCTCCTGGGCGCCCGTGTGGAGAATGGTTGGAGCATGTAGCAAGAATGAAAACAAAACATCTCCAGGCAAGACAGAGACTTGAAGCAAGGAAGCTGGGGGTAGGAGTAAAAAAGGGGGCTTCAGTGTGAATCCCAACTCTGGCCTGGGTGGATGGGTGGAGGGCCACTAACAGGAGCAAGGGACTCGGGTTGGTGAAAGATCAGGAATTCCATTTTGAACCTGAAGTGCCTGAGGAGTTGTGCAGTAGCCAACTGGGTACTGGAGGGAATGGGCCTGACGGTGCTGATTTGGAAGTTGATGCTTCAAAGGAAGTATTGTAAATAATGGAGTGGATAAAGTCCCCATGTTATTCCTTGAACAATTATTTACTGGGGACATCCTGTATTCCCAACTTGTGCTGGATATTCAGATACTACAATAAACAGGACAGATGTGGTCTGTATCTCACAGAGTCCAGAGTTCACAGTATTGTTCAGAGAGCAATACCATGACCAGCTGGGAAGACTGGTGAGCTGAGGAAGCACGACCAGTAACAGCTCCTTGGAGAAAATGGCTATTATCCTGTTATGTTGAGAGCAGAAAGATCAAATAAGCCATCGTATCTTGCAACAAGACGATGGGACTGTAGTGCCCTTGGTGAAAGCAGTCTCTTCAGAGTGTTGGAGGTGAAAGACATTGAGGCGTGAGTGAGA